CTTCGTGATCATCGATTGGCTGGATCCGTTGCGTAATCATCGTCCACATAGCCAACGAGGCTAAACGTGCGAGTCGTAATCATCGAGTAGGTGAGGCCAATGTGCAACATGGAGATGAAGTACTTTAGAGCTCGCTGAAGATCCAACATCATTATTTTGCCTGGAATACTGAGCGAGATGGCTGACAATGTAAGAAAGATCGGGCATGCAGGTTACGGCAGCGAAGAGGAGACATCCTAGTTGTTGTTGGTAAAGTTGGTGTGTTGGGTTGGTCGGTGTGGTATCGGGAATGTAGGGCGTTGAGGGTGTGCGGTAAGGGGTTGGAGGCGGGCAGATGAATGGCGTCGGCGGAGTAGGCGATGTTGAGTCCCAGGAACTGAGTGACCGTGTCATTGCTGGCGATGTCCACATGGTTGCTGATGTTTTCTCTCGAACTGATCAATGAGCTCGTTGCTTATTCCTGTGAAGAGCAGGTCATCCACATAAAATGTGAGTAGGATGTAATCATCACAGAAGTGAAAGTGATACATGTCGGGGTTGTGATGAAGTTGTAGGAAGCAGATGTCAAGAAGAACTTGATGGGGTACTGGTGCCATAGCAGTGTCACTTGTTTGATGCTGTACAAAGTTTTTTTGAGTTGACACACGCGGTTGTCGCTGTCGTCGTAGGTGTGTGGTTGTTCGATCACATGGATTACGTTGGCTTACCAACATTTGCGGCCAATACATAAAGTAAGCCCGAAAGAGGGACACCACAACGCTACCATACCGTGCTCGTGGACCAATCACTGGGATCACGTTGGGTTACCTTGATACGGGGCTCAAAACTAATCTTACCGGGGCATTAGGGAGACAAAGACTGTTGGAAGAAGTACTCATGGATTATTCCTAGGCCAATCACTCGGATAACGTTGGGTTACCATCATTTGGGGGAATTGAAAAACCCCCACCGAGGGGAATCCACCCAGCCCGGATGGTGGTCCGGACCCCAACCCTGGTGGAACCGGATCCACCCGGGTCGGGTGGGGGTCCGGACCATCCCGGGTGGGAACCGGATCCACCCAAGCCGGGTGGTGGGGGTCCGGATCATCCCGGGTGGGAACCGGATCCACCCAGGCCGGGTGGGGGTCCGGACCATCCCGGTTGGGAACCGAATCCATCCTGAGCGGGTGGGAACCGGATGGACCCAGGCCGGGCGGGGGTGGCCAGACCCGCGGACGAACCAGCATGCCTTGAAACGTTGGTCTCGTCGGTGACGGTTTTGATGCGAAATACCCACTTTCAAGAGAACTTGTCTCCCCTTAAATGTGACACGATGAACGAGCACCCAAATGTCCCTTGTTTCCCGTGGCGCAACTTCCGCGTCCATTGCCGCGCACCATTCTTTATGAATGGGGCAGGGAGGGCTCTATGCGGAGTTTTGGGTTTGATGGCAACTGGTGCAGGATTTATGGCAGTATGAAGGCCGAGCATTAGGAGGCCTTATAGGTCGGGGCTGTGTTGCTGATGACTTCCACAACGTCTTCGTCGAAGATGACTTCGCGAGAGGGAGTGGGGTTGAGCATGGTGTCGCGTGAGGATTCCAAGGTTGCGCCATCCTCGTCTTTGTCCTTATCGCTCCATAGGCAGGGTCATGGGTGGAAGTCGGCAGGGCCTTGATTTGCCAGCTCTGCTCCAGCTTCGACTTCGGGAGTTGCGTAGATGTGTGGAGGGGTGAGGTAGCTCTCCACGTAGCTGGATATGGCCAGCTGACGCTGGTCATCAAACCGATTGATCTGGAACCGGGTCAGAGTGAGTGCTTTGTAAAAAGAGCACATCACGAGCAGCAACGACTTTAGAGGTGGCAAAGTCGGGAATGTTCCAGGTGTGATGCTCGAAGCTGATCCCCATGCGTTCTCCCCACCATGCGCGCTGTTCTAAATTCCCGGTGAGTGCAGTTGTTGGTCGGTATTGCACCATGCAGCCACACACACGGAGCATGGAGGGATCGCCCTTGTGACAAGTTAACTTCAGGTGCAGTGAATATTTTTCTCTGTTGGCGGTGGTGTACAACAAATTGTGAAGGCTGTGGTGCAGTGTGTAGGGCCAATATTTGGTGTCGATGCTGAACTGCTGCATTAACGCGCGATCCTTGGTCATGAGGGTGTGGTTGGTGCGTTGTGTGACTCCTTGCTGTGGGTGCACACTTGTCATCCGTGAATGTCTTCGGCTCTTAAACTACGCAGCGCAGTCAGTTTGCCAATTTTTCATTGTATGTATGCGCATTACTCAGCTAAACCTTGAAGATGGCATAGGCTTTGCTCCGTTGCGTGGCATTGGTGACCCACACGAAGCGGGAGTGTGCGTCAACAAAGGTGAGCATGTATTCTTCACCGTTGAGTCCAGTGTGGGTGAGGACAATGAAGTCACTGTAGACTTTCTGCAGCTTCTTGTAGCGATTCGTGCTTGGTTTAAGAAACTTAAGGGTTGGTGTAGGAGCGCGGTTTGGGGGTAGATGGTGCAGGGAGTAAGCGTGTTGTTGGCTGTGAGTTCGGTTTCGTCAGGGTGCAGGAGAACTCCCGGAGTAAACACGCCGACGAATGCAATTGTTCAGTACTTCGTGCGAGGGATGGCCGAGGCGCTGGTGCCAAAGGTTAACGGGGGCACGCAGTGCGGGTGAGCGAGTATAGTAGCGGTGAAGCTCGTCGTTTGTGAGTCTGGGAGGAGCGAGGGTGGCCGTGGGTGAGACCGGGAGTCCGAAGGCCGGAATGAGCTTGCGCTCTGTTGGTTGGTGGGTTGTTGCCGGTTGGTGTGTCTTTTGTTACCCGTTTTCCTTTATCACCAGAATCCACTGTATATTCGATGATATATGGTCGTGGATGATGGTGAGGTGGTGGTATGCGAAACACTGGAGGTTCTGAATCGGTGAGAGGGTTAGGGTCATTGGGGCCGATGGGAGTGGAGTCTAAGGGCAGTGGGTTTTTGGGTAGAGGCGGTAAGGAAGGACATCGTGAATGTCGCGCTTGTTGCCTGTAGGTGAGGGAGTTTGGCGTGGGGAGACGCCTGGTGGGTGGCCGAAGGGAACAATTGGATTTTTTTCTTCGTGTTGGTGCTCCAGTTGTTCCGCTCGCTCTAAGTATTCCTCTATTGGCTTGTCTCGTCGCCCTTTGCCTGCTGTAGGGGTTTGGCACAGTTTGGCCGCGTCAAAGGCGTCGATAGACAAGCCCCGAAGTTGAAAAAAACGAACCGAGCCCGTCATTTTGAAACTTGAAGTTGTACTCGATGTACTGTAAATCTGGTAAAGAATGGAATAATCCTTATGCTACCATCCCCCCTCCTCCCATCCCCCCTCCTCCCATCCCCCCTCCACACTCTCCCCCTCTTCTAAGAATAGTGGTCCGTACCATATCTGACACGCTCTCAGAGTCACGAGAGAGCGGAATGAGGTCTTACTAGGAGAAAGAGGATACAAGTATGAGGATGTCGAGAAATGTGCTGTACCCCCTAAGATGTAGCTCCCTATAGCCTAGAAAATCTAACATAAATATAGACATCGTTTGACACACACCCATAGGCTAAGTGAGGGGCATCTAAAAAAGAGCAAGAGAAACAAAATGTCACAAGACCAAAGCAACAAGGCAGGGCAAGCAACTTAGGGTGGTACAACTAGCCAGCCTCTGAGACAAACGGCCACAAGGCATGTTCAAGAGATTACATATATATATAAATAGCAAAACAAGCATAGCAAGAACGAAGAGACAATCCTACAACAGATGAGGGCCTATCTGAACAAGGCCTAGTTGTGAATAGAGCCTGCGCTCATCACCAGGCAAGAGAGCCTTGGTGAAGACGTCTGTAGTGTTGGCCGCTAAGGCCACAAAGGCCAAGCGTGCCTGGCCGCGTCGATGCAACTCTCGCAGCAGGAAGTACTGCAGATGGATGGGCTTGATTTTGCTCTCCAGTCGAGGCTCCCGACACAGAAGAATCGTGGCCTTGTTGTCAACGAACAAGGTCGGTCCACAGCTAGGCCGCTTACTTAGGTTAGTGAGCAAGAAGGTCAACCAGCGGAGTTCCTGAGCAGCCATGGCACTGGCGTAGATCTCGGCCTCAGCAGACGAAGATGAAGCCACAGAAGACGACCGGGTAGACCTCCACGACGCGGCTCCAGAGCCCAAGATGAAACAGTACCCTTGAGACAAGTACTCCCTTTGAGACAGAGGGTAGAAGAAGAGGACAACATACTTGCCCTGAGGCAGGTAATCGCTTAGCTTGACCTTGATGAACTCCTGGTCAAAGACGGCATCAACCTCGAAGTCAGGGGCAACATTGACAACAAGGGGGGCCTTTGCCTTTCACGGCAAAGACGCGAGTCGACTTCTGGGGGGGGGGCGGTAGTGGCCTTGGCGGCCTTTGGGCACCTAGCCTTCAAGGTCTTGCCAAGTCCGTCTTGCCTCGAGAAGCCTAGGGTCAAGCTCCTGGGAGCCGAGATATCCTTGGCGTAGGAAGAAGCTCAAGGTGGTGGTGACAGTGCTGGAGCTCAAGGTGGTGGTGGCGGCCATAGCTGCTTGGAGGCTGAAGTTGCAGGTAGGGTAGGGATGACCAGAAGGCTGATGGATGCAAATTTAACATAATTGTAAACATAGTTTGACACACGCTTATGTGAGTTCAGATTTGAACATGGTACCACTCGCACTGGTTGTCTTTTTGACCCCGTAGTGCAATCATCGCTTCACTCGCTCAATTGCACTCACACAAAACAGCAAGCAACATCGATGGCTCATTGCTGAATATAGGTGCATGCCGTGCCGGTAATTTCGAGACAAGATTTTAAATGGATTGAAAATCGGGTAACAACAGTCATCTGGTTTCTTGAGGCATCTTAAAAAAAAAATGGTGTTCCCAAGTGTTGATCACAGCCATGGTGAAGACCATGATCGGTAGTAAGAGATACGTCATTAATTCAAGTAATGAATCCACAAGTGCTCACCAATCTGTGCAGTGTGCACAAAAGCTGACTGCCTGCTACATCACTGCACATGCCCCCCTTTCATTCTTGGTCTCCTCCTCCTCCTCCGTCGCCCTTCCTCTCCTTCTGGGAAGCTTTCCTGACCTTCCAACACCTTCCTCCTCTTCCTTCTGTATCTCCCGCTCTCTCCTCCGAACTTCCTTCCCTCCCTCTCCACCCTCCTTCTCCACCTCCTCTTCCTCCGCCCCTCTCCATGCCTCTATCATTCCCACCCACCCAGACCCTTCCACTGCACTCACCGCCAACGCTGCCAGGCTCGAATCAGCAACGGAAACCACCGCTGAGGTTCGGTCTACCCAGGTCACCCGAACGTCTCCCAATCCTACTGACTGGAAGAGGTCGAGAATAGAGGAGGTGGTGGTGGAGTTGGCATCAAAGCCGGAGAGGAGGAAGAGGTTAGAGCGGTCAGGGGCAGGCAGAGGGCCGTCCAGAGGAAGGGTTTTCACGTCCCAGAACATGACATTCACACGGTTGCGATGGGCTGAAAGCGGTGAGGATGGGTTGGTGAGGTTGATGCGTGATGGGGAGGTGCAGCTGCGCATGGCTGCATGTGTGGGTGCTGGTGTGCTCCCTGTCAAGGCGTCGGCATTGCCTGTGGTGCCGGTAGTTGTGTTGAGACATGCAGTGGTCCCAGTTGCAGTGGTTGAACCACCTCCGCCTGATCTGGGTGCTGCTGCACTGGCTTTTGCCGATTGCGATCCCACTCCTGCTTCTGCTGCTTCTGCTGCTGCTGCTGGTGTTTCTGCTGCTTCTGCTTTAGGAGTTGATGTGCGAGGCAGCACCTTCACACTCTGCAGACAGGGGGGAATTCGTATGAAACAGAGAAGATTGGCAAAGGTTGATAGGAGGATGAGGATGGCTGATGGGCTCTCTGGAAGCTGGTCATGTGGCAAGAGGTCATGTGGCAAGAGGTCATGTGGCAAGAGGTCATGTGGCAAGAGGTCATGTGGCAAGAGGTCATGTGGCAAGAGGTCATGTGGCAAGAGGTCATGTGGCAAGAGGTCATGTGGCAAGAGGTCATGTGGCAAGAGGTCATGTGGCAAGAGGTCATGTGGCAAGAGGTCATGTGGCAAGAGGTCATGTGGCAAGAGGTCATGTGGCAAGAGGTCATGTGGCAAGAGGTCATGTGGCAAGAGGTCATGTGGCAAGAGGTCATGTGGCAAGAGGTCATGTGGCAAGAGGTCATGTGGCAAGAGGTCATGTGGCAAGAGGTCATGTGGCAAGAGGTCATGTGGCAAGAGGTCATGTGGCAAGAGGTCATGTGGCAAGAGGTCATGTGGCAAGAGGTCATGTGGCAAGAGGTCATGTGGCAAGAGGTCATGTGGCAAGAGGTCATGTGGCAAGAGGTCATGTGGCAAGAGGTCATGTGGCAAGAGGTCATGTGGCAAGAGGTCATGTGGCAAGAGGTCATGTGGCAAGAGGTCATGTGGCAAGAGGTCATGTGGCAAGAGGTCATGTGGCAAGAGGTCATGTGGCAAGAGGTCATGTGGCAAGAGGTCATGTGGCAAGAGGTCATGTGGCAAGAGGTCATGTGGCAAGAGGTCATGTGGCAAGAGGTCATGTGGCAAGAGGTCATGTGGCAAGAGGTCATGTGGCAAGAGGTCATGTGGCAAGAGGTCATGTGGCAAGAGGTCATGTGGCAAGAGGTCATGTGGCAAGAGGTCATGTGGCAAGAGGTCATGTGGCAAGAGGTCATGTGGCAAGAGGTCATGTGGCAAGAGGTCATGTGGCAAGAGGTCATGTGGCAAGAGGTCATGTGGCAAGAGGTCATGTGGCAAGAGGTCATGTGGCAAGAGGTCATGTGGCAAGAGGTCATGTGGCAAGAGGTCATGTGGCAAGAGGTCATGTGGCAAGAGGTCATGTGGCAAGAGGTCATGTGGCAAGAGGTCATGTGGCAAGAGGTCATGTGGCAAGAGGTCATGTGGCAAGAGGTCATGTGGCAAGAGGTCATGTGGCAAGAGGTCATGTGGCAAGAGGTCATGTGGCAAGAGGTCATGTGGCAAGAGGTCATGTGGCAAGAGGTCATGTGGCAAGAGGTCATGTGGCAAGAGGTCATGTGGCAAGAGGTCATGTGGCAAGAGGTCATGTGGCAAGAGGTCATGTGGCAAGAGGTCATGTGGCAAGAGGTCATGTGGCAAGAGGTCATGTGGCAAGAGGTCATGTGGCAAGAGGTCATGTGGCAAGAGGTCATGTGGCAAGAGGTCATGTGGCAAGAGGTCATGTGGCAAGAGGTCATGTGGCAAGAGGTCATGTGGCAAGAGGTCATGTGGCAAGAGGTCATGTGGCAAGAGGTCATGTGGCAAGAGGTCATGTGGCAAGAGGTCATGTGGCAAGAGGTCATGTGGCAAGAGGTCATGTGGCAAGAGGTCATGTGGCAAGAGGTCATGTGGCAAGAGGTCATGTGGCAAGAGGTCATGTGGCAAGAGGTCATGTGGCAAGAGGTCATGTGGCAAGAGGTCATGTGGCAAGAGGTCATGTGGCAAGAGGTCATGTGGCAAGAGGTCATGTGGCAAGAAGTCATGTGGCAAGAGGTTCATGTGGCAAGAGGTCATGTGGCCAAGAGGTCATGTGGCAAGAGGTCATGTGGCAAGAGGTCATGTGGCAAGAGGTCATGTGGCAAGAGGTCATGTTGGCAAGAGGTCATGTGGCAAGAGGTCATGTGGCAAGAGGTCATGTGGCAAGAGGTCATGTGGCAAGAGGTCATGTGGCAAGAGGTCATGTGGCAAGAGGTCATGTGGCAAGAGGTCATGTGGCAAGAGGTCATGTGGCAAGAGGTCATGTGGCCAAGAGGTCATGGCAAGAGGTCATGTGGCAAGAGGTCATGTGGCAAGAGGTCATGTGGCAAGAGGTCATGTGGCAAGAGGTCATGTGGCAAGAGGTCATGTGGCAAGAGGTCATGTGGCAAGAGGTCATGTGGCAAGAGGTCATGTGGCAAGAGGTCATGTGGCAAGAGGTCATGTGGCAAGAGGTCATGTGGCAAGAGGTCATGTGCAAGAGGTCATGTGGCAAGAGGTCATGTGGCAAGAGGTCATGTGGCAAGAGGTCATGTGGCAAGAGGTCATGTGGCAAGAGGTCATGTGGCAAGAGGTCATGTGGCAAGAGGTCATGTGGCAAGAGGTCATGTGGCAAGAGGTCATGTGGCAAGAGGTCATGTGGCAAGAGGGTCATGTGGCAAGAGGTCATGTGGCAAGAGGTCATGTGGCAAGAGGTCATGTGGCAAGAGGTCATGTGGCAAGAGGTCATGTGGCAAGAGGTCATGTGGCAAGAGGTCATGTGGCAAGAGGTCATGTGGCAAGAGGTCATGTGGCAAGAGGTCATGTGGCAAGAGGTCATGTGGCAAGAGGTCATGTGGCAAGAGGTCATGTGGCAAGAGGTCATGTGGCAAGAGGTCATGTGGCAAGAGGTCATGTGGCAAGAGGTCATGTGGCAAGAGGTCATGTGGCAAGAGGTCATGTGGAAAGTCATGTGCAGAGGTCATGTGGCAAGAGGTTCACTGGTGGCAAGAGGTCATGTGGCAAGAGGTCATGTGGCAAAGAGGTCATGTGGCAAGAGGTCATGTGGCAAGAGGTCATGTGGCAAGAGGTCATGTGGCAAGAGGTCATGTGGCAAGAGGTCATGTGGCAAGAGGTCATGTGGCAAGAGGTCATGTGGCAAGAGGTCATGTGGCAAGAGGTCTGTGGCAAGAGGTCATGTGGCAAGAGGTCATGTGGCAAGAGGTCATGTGGCAAGAGGTCATGTGGCAAGAGGTCATGTGGCAAGAGGTCATGTGGCAAGAGGTCAGTGTGGCAAGAGGTCATGTGGCAAGAGGTCATGTTGGCAAGAGGTCATGTGGCAAGAGGTCATGTGGCAAGCGGTCATGTGGCAAGAGGTCATGTGGCAAGAGGTCATGTGGCAAGAGGTCATGTGGCAAGAGGTCATGTGGCAAGAGGTCATGTGGCAAGAGGTCATGTGGCAAGAGGTCATGTGGCAAGAGGTCATGTGGCAAGAGGTCATTGTGGCAAGAGGTCTGTGGCAAGAGGTCATGTGTGCAAGAGGTCATGTGGCAAGAGGTCATGTGGCAAGAGGTCATGTGGCAAGAGGTCATGTGGCAAGAGGTCATGTGGCAAGAGGTCATGTGGCAAGAGGTCATGTGGCAAGAGGTCATGTGGGGCAAGAGGTCATGTGGCAAGAGGTCATGTGGCAAGAGGTCATGTGGCAAGAGGTCATGTGGCAAGAGGTCATGTGGCAAGAGGTCATGTGGCAAGAGGTCATGTGCAAGAGGTCATGTGGCAAGAGGTCATGTGGCAAGAGGTCATGTGGCAAGAGGTCATGTGGCAAGAGGTCATGTGGCAAGAGGTCATGTGGCAAGAGGGTCATGTGGCAAGAGGTCATGTGGCAAGAGGTCATGTGGCAAGAGGTCATGTGGCAAGAGGTCATGTGGCAAGAGGTCATGTGGCAAGAGGTCATGTGGCAAGAGGTCATTGGCAAGAGGTCATGTGGCAAGAGGTCATGTGGCAAGAGGTCATGTGGCCAAAGAGGTCATGTGGCACGAGGTCATGTGGCAAGAGGTCATGTGGCAAGAGGTCATGTGGCAAGAGGTCATGTGGCAAGAGGTCATGTGGCAAGAGGTCATGTGGCAAGAGGTCATGTGGCAAGAGGTCATGTGGCAAGAGGTCATGTGGCAAGAGGTCATGTGGCAAGAGGTCATGTGGCAAGAGGTCATGTGGCAAGAGGTCATGTGGCAAGAGGTCATGTGGCAAGAGGTCATGTGGCAAGAGGTCATGTGGCAAGAGGTCATGTGGCAAGAGGTCATGTGGCAAGAGGTCATGTGGCAAGAGGTCATGTGGCAAGAGGTCATGTGGCAAGAGGTCATGTGCAAGAGGTCATGTGGCAAGAGGTCATGTGGCAAGAGGGTCATGTGGCAAGAGGTCATGTGGCAAGAGGTCATGTGGCAAGAGGTCATGTGGCAAGAGGTCATGTGGCAAAGAGGTCATGGGCAAGAGGTCATGTGGCAAGAGGTCATGTGGCAAGAGGTCATGTGGCAAGAGGTCATGTGGCAAGAGGTCATGTGGCAAGAGGTCATGTGGCAAGAGGTCATGTGGCAAGAGGTCATGTGGCAAGAGGTCATGTGGCAAGAGGTCATGTGGCAAGAGGTCATGTGGCAAGAGGTCATGTGGCAAGAGGTCATGTGGCAAGAGGTCATGTGGCAAGAGGTCATGTGGCAAGAGGTCATGTGGCAAGAGGTCATGTGGCAAGAGGTCATGTGGCAAGAGGTCATGTGGCAAGAGGTCATGTGGCAAGAGGTCATGTGGCAAGAGGTCATGTGGCAAGAGGTCATGTGGCAAGAGGTCATGTGGCAAGAGGTCATGTGGCAAGAGGTCATGTGGCAAGAGGTCATGTGGCAAGAGGTCATGTGGCAAGAGGTCATGTGGGCAAGAGGTCATGTGGCAAGAGGTCATGTGGCAAGAGGTCATGTGGCAAGAGGTCATGTGGCAAGAGGTCATGTGGCAAGGAGGTCATGTGGCAAGAGGTCATGTGGCAAGAGGTCATGTGGCAAGAGGTCATGTGGCAAGAGGTCATGTGGCAAGAGGTCATGTGGCAAGAGGTCATGTGGCAAGAGGTCATGTGGCAAGAGGTCATGTGGCAAGAGGTCATGTGGCAAGAGGTCATGTGGCAAGAGGTCATGTGGCAAGAGGGTCATGTGGCAAGAGGTCATGTGGCAAGAGGTCATGTGGCAAGAGGTCATGTGGCAAGAGGTCATGTGGCAAGAGGTCATGTGGCAAGAGGTCATGTGGCAAGAGGTCATGTGGCAAGAGGTCATGTGGCAAGAGGTCATGTGCAAGAGGTCATGTGGCAAGAGGTCATGTGGCAAGAGGTCATGTGGCAAGAGGTCATGTGGCAAGAGGTCATGTGGCAAGAGGTCATGTGGCAAGAGGTCATGTGGCAAGAGGTCATGTGGCAAGAGGTCATGTGGCAAGAGGTCATGTGGCAAGAGGTCATGTTGGCAAGAGGTCATGTGGCAAGAGGTCATGTGGCAAGAGGTCATGTGGCAAGAGGTCATGTGGCAAGAGGTCATGTGGCAAGAGGTCATGTGGCAAGAGGTCATGTGGCAAAGAGGTCATGTGGCAAGAGGTCATGTGGCAAGAGGTCATGTGGCAAGAGGTCATGTGGCAAGAGGTCATGTGGCAAGAGGTCATGTGGCAAGAGGTCATGTGGCAAGAGGTCATGTGGCAAGAGGTCATGTGGCAAGAGGTCATGTGGCAAGAGGTCATGTGGCAAGAGGTCATGTGGCAAGAGGTCATGTGGCAAGAGGTCATGTGGCAAGAGGTCATGTGGCAAGAGGTCATGTGGCAAGAGGTCATGTGGCAAGAGGTCATGTGGCAAGAGGTCATGTGGCAAGAGGTCATGTGGCAAGAGGTCATGTGGCAAGAGGTCATGTGGCAAGAGGTCATGTGGCAAGAGGTCATGTGGCAAGAGGTCATGTGGCAAGAGGTCATGTGGCAAGAGGTCATGTGGCAAGAGGTCATGTGGCAAGAGGTCATGTGGCAAGAGGTCATGTGGCAAGAGGTCATGTGGCAAGAGGTCATGTGGCAAGAGGTCATGTGGCAAGAGGTCATGTGGCAAGAGGTCATGTGGCAAGAGGTCATGGTGGCAAGAGGTCATGTGGCAAGAGGTTCATGTGGCAAGAGGTCATGTGGCAAGAGGTCATGTGGCAAGAGGTCATGTGGCAAGAGGTCATGTGGCAAGAGGGTCATGTGCAAGAGGTCATGTGGCAAGAGGTCATGTGGACAGAGGTCATGTGGCAAGAGGTCATGTGGCAAGAGGTCATGTGGCAAGAGGTCATGTGGCAAGAGGTCATGTGGCAAGAGGTCATGTGGCAAGAGGTCATGTGGCAAGAGGTCATGTGCAAGTAGGTCATGTGGCAAGAGGTCATGTGGCAAGAGGTCATGTGGCAAGAGGTCATGTGGCAAGAGGTCATGTGGCAAGAGGTCATGTGGCAAGAGGTCATGTGGCAAGAGGTCATGTGGCAAGAGGTCATGTGGCAAGAGGTCATGTGGCCAAGAGGTCATGTGGCAAGAGGTCATGTGGCAAGAGGTCCATGTGGCCAAGAGGTCATGTGGCAAGAGGTCATGTGGCAAGAGGTCATGTGGCAAGAGGTCATGTGGCAAGAGGTCATGTGGCAAGAGGTCATGTGGCAAGAGGTCATGTGGCAAGAGGTCATGTGGCAAGAGGTCATGTGGCAAGAGGTCATGTGGCAAGAGGTCATGTGGCAAGAGGTCATGTGGCAAGAGGTCATGTGGCAAGAGGTCATGTGGCAAGAGGTCATGTGGCAAGAGGTCATGTGGCAAGAGGTCATGTGGCAAGAGGTCATGTGGCAAGAGGTCATGTGGCAAGAGGTCATGTGGCAAGAGGTCATGTGGCAAGAGGTCATGTGGCAAGAGGTCATGTGGCAAGAGGTCATGTGGCAAGAGGTCATGTGGCAAGAGGTCATGTGGCAAGAGGTCATGTGGCAAGAGGTCATGTGGCAAGAGGTCATGTGGCAAGAGGTCATGTGGCAAGAGGTCATGTGGCAAGAGGTCATGTGGCAAGAGGTCATGTGGCAAGAGGTCATGTGGCAAGAGGTCATGTGGCAAGAGGTCATGTGGCAAGAGGTCATGTGGCAAGAGGTCATGTGGCAACGAGGTCATGTGGCAAGAGGTCATGTGGCAAGAGGTCATGTGGCAAGAGGTCATGTGGCAAGAGGTCATGTGGCAAGAGGTCATGTGGCAAGAGGGTCATGTGGCAAGAGGTCATGTGGCAAGAGGTCTGTGGCAAGAGGTCATGTGGCAAGAGGTCATGTGGCAAGAGGTCATGTGGCAAGAGGTCATGTGGCAAGAGGTCATGTGGCAACGAGGTCATGTGGCAAGAGGTCATGTGGCAAGAGGTCATGTGGCAAGAGGTCATGTGGCAAGAGGTCATGTGGCAAGAGGTCATGTGGCAAGAGGTCATGTGGCAAGAGGTCATGTGGCAAGAGGTCATGTGGCAACGAGGTCATGTGGCAAGAGGTCATGTGGCAAGAGGTCATGTGGCAAGAGGTCATGTGGCAAGAGGTCATGTGGCAAGAGGTCATGTGGCAAGAGGTCATGTGGCAAGAGGTCATGTGGCAAGAGGTCATGTGGGCAAGAGGTCATGTGGCAAGAGGTCATGTGGCAACAGAGGGTCATGTGGCAAGAGGTCATGTGGCAAGAGGTCATGTGGCAAGAGGTCATGTGGCAAGAGGTCATGTGGCAAGAGGTCATGTGGCAAGAGGTCATGTGGCAAGAGGTCATGTGGCAAGAGGTCATGTGGCAAGAGGTCATGTGGCAAGAGGTCATGTGGCCAAGAGGTCATGTGGCAAGAGGTCATGTGGCAAGAGGTCATGTGGCAAGAGGTCATGTGGCAAGAGGTCATGTGGCAAGAGGTCATGTGGCAAGAGGTCATGTGGCAAGAGGTCATGTGGCAAGAGGTCATGTGGCAAGAGGTCATGTGGCAAGAGGTCATGTGGCAAGAGGTCATGTGGCAAGAGGGTCATGTGGCAAGAGGTCATGTGGCAAGAGGTCATGTGGCAAGAGGTCATGTGGCAAGAGGTCATGTGGCAAGAGGTCATGTGGCAAGAGGTCATGTGGCAAGAGGTCATGTGGCAAGAGGTCATGTGGCAAGAGGTCATGTGGCAAGAGGTCATGTGGCAAGAGGTCATGTGGCAAGAGGTCATGTGGCAACGAGGTCATGTGGCAAGAGGTCCTGTGGCAAGAGGTCATGTGGCAAGAGGTCATGTGGCAAGAGGTCATGTGGCAAGAGGTCATGTGGCAAGAGGTCATGTGGCAAGAGGTCATGTGGCAAGAGGTCATGTGGCAAGAGGTCATGTGGCAAGAGGTCATGTGGCAAGAGGTCATGTGGCAAGAGGTCATGTGGCAAGAGGTCATGTGGCAAGAGGTCATGTGGCAAGAGGTCATGTGGCAAGAGGTCATGTGGCAAGAGGTCATGTGGCAAGAGGTCATGTGGCAAGAGGTCATGTGGCAAGAGGTCATGTGGCAAGAGGTCATGTGGCAAGAGGTCATGTGGCAAGAGGTCATGTGCAAGAGGTCATGTGGCAAGAGGTCATGTGGCAAGAGGTCATGTGGCAAGAGGTCATGTGGCAAGAGGTCATGTGGCAAGAGGTCATGTGGCAAGAGGTCATGTGGCAAGAGGTCATGTGGCAAGAGGTCATGTGGCAAGAGGTCATGTGGCAAGAGGTCATGTGGCAAGAGGTCATGTGGCAAGAGGTCATGTGGCAAGAGGTCATGTGGCAAGAGGTCATGTGGCAAGAAGGTCATGTGGCAAGAGGTCATGTGGCAAGAGGTCATGTGGCAAGAGGTCATGTGGCAAGAGGTCATGTGGCAAGAGGTCATGTGGCAAGAGGTCATGTGGCAAGAGGTCATGTGGCAAGAGGTCATGTGGCAAGAGGTCATGTGGCAAGAGGTCATGTGGCAAGAGGTCATGTGGCAAGAGGTCATGTGGCAAGAGGTCATGTGGCAAGAGTGTCATGTGGCAAGAGGTCATGTGGCAAGAGGTCATAGGTGGCAAGAGGTCATGTGGCAAGAGGTCATGTGGCAAGAGGTCATGTGGCAAGAGGTCATGTGGCAAGAGGTCATGTGGCAAGAGGTCATGTGGCAAGAGGTCATGTGGCAAGAGGTCATGTGGCAAGAGGTCATGTGGCAAGAGGTCATGTGGCAAGAGGTCATGTGGCAAGAGGTCATGTGGCAAGAGGTCATGTGGCAAGAGGTCATGTGGCAAGAGGTCATGTGGCAAGAGGTCATGTGGCAAGAGGTCATGTGGCAAGAGGTCATGTGGCAAGAGGTCATGTGGCAAGAGGTCATGTGGCAAGAGGTCATGTGGCAAGAGGTCATGTGGCAAGAGGTCATGTGGCAAGAGGTCATGTGGCAAGAGGTCATGTGGCAAGAGGTCATGTGGCAAGAGGTCATGTGGCAAGAGGTCATGTGGCAAGAGGTCATGTGGCAAGAGGTCATGTGGCAAGAGGTCATGTGGCAAGAGGTCATGTGGCAAGAGGTCATGTGGCAAGAGGTCATGTGGCAAGAGGTCATGTGGCAAGAGGTCATGTGGCAAGAGGTCATGTGGCAAGAGGTCATGTGGCAAGAGGTCATGTGGCAAGAGGTCATGCGGCGGGAAGGTTTGAATGCATCGTACAGCAACTGCACTCTGCTGTGAATCCATGTGAGGACCTGGTGGGCGAATACGAGCAGCACACCAATCAAAGCAGCTCCTCGCGTGTAGTGTTTATAATGCACTTCACAAGGTGTAGGTGCAGTATCAGTGTGTGTGTGGTACCTTGGAGGAGAGGGTAGGCGAGGCGAGGAGCGAGGAGATGGCAACAAAGACTGCTGCTGTCATGTACGCATCAAAGCTGGGCGCAGGGGTGGGGGAGGGAGACAGGCGCAACACATGCCGGGGAAACAGCAAGGTGTGTGATGAGAGGATTGCATCGAGTGGCCACAGCACAATTAGAGTCACTTTTGAGTATTCTCAAAAGGCCACAGGACAACATTCCCATAAAGTTGCATTTTTTATTCTTCACCATGCATATCCTGCTGCCCACACCCAAACGCCCCGTTCCGCATCCGCCCATGCCCAACCGTCCCCTACCATGGCTGTGTTACCACCTGCGACGGCGGTGCAACTCACCCTGCTTCATGAGCCATGGCAGGGTTGTCTGGTGACAGATGGCTGTAGCGGTTGAACCCCTCCCCATGCACCACTGCCGGCCACTGCACTCTCACCACCGCCTCCTCCCCCCCTGCCCCCTCCTGCTCCCCTCCTCTGCTCCCCCCTTCCCCCTCGCCTTCCTTCACACTCACGCCTCCCGCTCCCGCTGTCCCGTCTCCACCGTTTTCACGCGCCCCCTCTCCGCGCTCCCTCTCCCCCTCGCCCTCTGCTTCCTTCTCGGGATTGATGGCCACAGCAACGTCGAGATAGCACACAAATGGCTGCGTAGGTTGGGGCGTAGTCCCATCACCTTCCCCCGCCCCAGCCTCCTCGCCCTCCTTGTCACGCACGGGAGTGGATGAGGGTGAGGCGGGGCGGTGGAAGAAGAACTCGAAGAGCGAGGAGAGGGAGGTGCTGGATGGGAGCAGCGCGGGCGGGAGGAGCGAGACGAGGTGCTTGGTGTCGTACACGCCGCCGGGGAAGGCTTCTAGGAACTGCCAGCGGCGCACATGGGGAGGGGAGAGACGGTGATAAGAGTCGGACGGGATAATAGGAGAGATGGAGTAGTGAGAGAGGAAGGGGGTGATGGGAGAGAGGGTGATGAAAGGGTTGGTTGGAGTGGAGAGCACAAGCAAGCAACCCCAAGAACGATATGTGAGGCGCCTCGAAAACAAGCAAGCCCAAGTAAGTAACAGAGCCCCGCATGGCCGCACGCACCTGGTGGCGCCAGTCATCGAGCGAGTCGGGCATGGGGCGGATGAAGTGGTGGAAGAGGTACGCGAGGTCAAAGAGGCAGTTGTGTGCCAGCAGTGGCACGCCGCGCTCCCTGCTCACACGCATCACCGCCTCCACTGCCCGCGTGAACCCGATGGACGCTTCCAGCTGCTGCTGCTGCCGCTGCTCCTCCTGCCGCCCCCACTCCTCCGCGTCCTCCTGGGTTGCACGGACGAGAAGGAGGGTTTCCGGGCCGCGATACGGGCGCTGGGGGGAGGGGGGTGGGCGAGGGGGAAAGGAGAATGGGGAGGGGGAAAGGGTGAGGGAGGAGGGGGTAAGTGTTGAGGGGGCAGGTGAGCAGAACAGGGAAGTACCGTCACAGCGGTATAGGGCAGCCTTGAAGCAGATCGCATCAAGTAATAAGAGACATGCAGCAGCCCCACATGTAAACAGCAACACATGCCCATGCTCACCACCTCAACCCCTCATCACCTCACCCCCTCACCACCTCACCACCGCACCCCCTCACCACCTCACCACCGCACCCCCACACTGCCTCAACCCCGCACCCCCACACTGCCTCAACCCCGCACCCCCACACTGCCTCACGGGCTCACCTCCCCGCGCACGATGTAGAACGCGCTCTGCCCGAACTCCTCCTCCAGCTGCTGCACCAGTGCCGCGCGCAAGAACGAGTTCCCCGCCACCACCTGTAGCTTCACCGCCTCGCCCCCCTCGCCCTCTCCCGTCCCTGCTGCTGCTGCTCCTCCCGCCTCGCCTGCTGCTCCTTGTTTGGTGGCTGCTTCCCCACTGGCGGCACCAGCCTTGCCATTAGCAACGGCACCAGCACCACCACCAGCAGCAGCGGCGGCAGTTGGGGAGAGAGAGGCGAGGTGAGTGGGAGGGGGCGAGGTGGAGAGCACCCAGGTGCGCACGTCATCCACCAGCTGCCCCACTGCCAGCCGGTCCTCGGGCCGAGACAGCACTATGGGCGCCCGTTGTGGCTGCCTGCTGCTTGCATCCGCGCCTGCCCCGTTCGCTGCCCCGCCCTTGCTGCTCCGGAATGATGCTCGTAGGCGCCGCCTCTCCCTCTCGGCTTTCTCCAATGGCAGGTAGGGCACGCCTGGCGAGGGGGGAGATTGGGACAATGGGAGAGGGAGGGGTGGGGGGGGAGAAGGGGAGGGGATGAATGGGGAAGGGGTGAAATCCGGTGTGTGGGAAGAGAAGGGAGGACCGGGAGGGTGGGAAGAGAAGAGCAGACGAAGACCGTTGGAGGGGCAATGCAATGCGTGATGGGAGAGGTAGTGGGAGGGAGAGGTAGTGGGAGAGGACTGGATGGAGTGAACGGTGTGTGGGCAGGAGAGGTGGTGTAAGGCCAAAGCAGCAGCAGCGGCAGCGGCGGCGGCAGCAGCGGCAGCAGCAGCAGCGGCGGCAGCGACGCCAGCAGCAGAATCAGAAGAGATGGGGAGAGAGTATGGCATGGTTAGGTTGAGAAAGTGGTGTGCGTACCTTGGTAGACGAACTTGTTGAAGTCAAAGTTGTTGCGCGCTAAGAAGTCCATCGATGACGCCTGCTCTCACCGCACCGCACCGCACAGCACAGCAGCATGCATGCATGCACAGGAGCAGCACGCGCATGTAGATGCACACGGCGTGCATGCGCACGCCCACACACAGACATGCACAGGCAGGCAAAGCCACAAGGGCTGTCAGAGGCAAGAGAAAGAGGTGGAAGAGAAACCAGGAGCAAACGGGGTGCTGCTGGCGCCACTGGGGCATGCAGCGTGTGGGGAAAAGGGGGAAGGAGCAGAGTGGACTGGAGGGACGGGATGGGATGGGATGAATGGAGAGACGCGTTGCATGGCAACGATAGGGGTGAAGAGAGGTGTGTGTGTGTGTGTGATGAAACATGAGCAAGGGAGAACGTGAGTGTTGCGCTGTGTCAGACAGAGCCAGGGTGTGGTGTGGTGTGGTGTGGTGCGTGCAAGCAAGCGTGCCTGGCAGAGGAAGCGCAGGTCGAAGCCGGGGAAGGGGCGCGGGAAGATGTTGAAGTTGAACGTGTGCGCGCTGTACGCCGCCTTGCCCTCGTCCCATGCCAGCGCGCTGAACCCCAGCTGGACGGAGGGGGGAGGAGGAGGGGGAGACGGAGGCGAACAAGGGGGCGGAGAGGGGGTGGAGGGGAAGGGTGGGGGGAAGGAGAAGATGGTTGTTGTGGAGGGTTATTGTCCAGTGAGAGGGATGGGAGAGACGGGGCGGGGAGCAACTGGGAGAGAGGGGAGGGATAAGGGGGAATGTGTGAAGGAAGCACACAGGGGAGGATAGGGTGCCATGGGGGATAAAATTTAAAAGGCGCCCTCGTTCTGAAAAAAAGGTGCTCTAATGCCTTCTGCCTTCTCTTCCCTCCCACCTTCTCTGCAGTGCATTCTCTATCCCCCTCCGCACTCCCTCTCCGCAATAACAGCACTGTGCGGAAAAACTTACCGCGCCCCTGCGCCTCTTCCCCCCCTGCATTTCCCCCAGTGATAGAGCTGCACCGACTCAAACGTCTCCCCTGCCCCGCCCCCACAGCTCCACCACTCGCTCCGCTACTCCCCCAATGATAGTGTTGCACCTGCCTCCCGTCCTTTCCCCCTCACTGCCCCCTCAACCCCATTCGCTCCCCTCCCCTCCCTCCACTCGCTCCCCTCCCTCACCTCCCTCCACTCCCTCCCCTCCCTCCCCGCCCTCCCCTCCCTCCACTCCCTCATCTTCCCTGCCCCCCCCCCCTCACCTGCATGGTGAAGAAGCTGCCAGCGCCCTCCTTCACGCGCTCGTACCGCTGCTGCGGCGAGTCCAGCAGCTGCAGCCTGCGCACACGCGCGTGGGCAGGGGCGGTAGCAGGGGAAGGGGGAAGGCGGGGGGGGGGGGGAGAGTGGGGGAGGCGGGGGGAGAGAGGGGGGCCGGGGGGCGGGAGGGGAAGAAGAGGGGATGGAAGGGAGCAACAACCTTTTTGTTGACCAAACAGTACCCCACCCAGCTTCTTCTACTTCCAACAAGTACCGAGAACTGGGACGAGCACAGCACAGAGTAGCACAGCCTGCATTGGAGGCCAGCGAGACTTGAAAGAAGTTTCAACAGCGGCAACAGCGAGGCCAAGCAGCGAGGCCAAGGGAGAGTTGAGTGCATGCAACCACGCCGTGCGTGGCGTCGTCAGTACCCGTAGTTGCTGGTGTTGCTGACGTGTAACCCCGTGAACTCGCCATCGAACGCCACCAGGTCGCACGTCTTTAAAGCCGCCTCGAGCGCCGCCAGACCCTCCTCGAAGTTCGCGCGAACCACGTCCATCTCCACTAGCACGCCCGACCCCGCCGCGCTTTCCCCCGCGATTCCCGCCGCAACTTCCGCCGGGATTTCCGGCGCGCTCGCCGACCGAACGAGCGTGTCCGGCGGCGTCGGGCCCAAATCAGACTCTAACGCGGAATCAGAATCTAATCCCGAATCACCTGCCGGTGCTACCCCTTCCGCTGCTCTCTTCCCCGCGCCGCACGCTAGCCCGCGCGGGGCGTCGGGGCAATCGCTGGAAAAGGCGCGCGGGACGGCGGATGTCGAGACGCCTTTGCGGGAGACGGCGACGGCGGCAGTCCACGGGGCGATGGGCCTCCACGCGCGATTCGACGGAGGAAAGAGGATTAGCGGAAAGATCGGGCGGATAGCACGAGTTTCAGTAGGAGCAGAAGGAACTGCGAGATGCGTGCAGTGGCGACGAAGCGCGCCGCGATAGGCGCTAAAAGCGTGAGCGCAAAATGCGGCGGGGGGAAAGGGGGAAAATGGAAGCAGAGCGCGCGGAAGGCAGGAGGGGATGAGGCAGCGGGCTTGGGGGGAACAATCGGGGGAAGCTCTTAGGGGAACAGAACGCGCAGAAGTCGTGGGAGGTTTGGGTTTAGCAGAGTGCGCAAGTGGCGGCGCGGGAAGCACGTGCAACGGATAGGGATGACGTGGTAAGAGTCTCCTCATGCTTCATCGCCAAGAGTCGGGTCGGGTCGGATCGGGTGCTCCTGCGTACTGCATGTGACGGGTGCGTCTAGGTCTAGACGTTGCGGAAATAGGGGGGAAATGAACACTCTAGTCGGGAGTGCGTATTGGAGTGAGTCGGGTCAGGTCGTACAATTCATGCTTCAAGGCTGAGGACGGTTCCAAACGGTGGAAAGCGGCAATTTAGATCTACCGCTTTGCACCGTGACGAAACGAATTAGACCGCAGAGAACGTACAAAAGACGTGCGAGCTGACCTCGCCCTAAGTGGGCGCTAATAAAACAGCAACAGGGAAATAGCTGATCGTCAGATGGTTGAAGGTTATTCGGAACGTTATAACGAGGTACACCGTGGTTACTAGCCCGCCTTTTCAAATCGAATACCACGTGCACGTAAGGGCCGTGAAAGCGCTGGTCAAGAGGAGAGGTGAAGGGGGACGGCATGTCGAGGCGTGGCAGTGATTGCAAGGGGCGGATATGATTGATGGCTGCTGCCGCTTTTATAGCTACACTGCGTTGCGATATGATCGTATACACTGAAACTTGGTGTGAATGGCAGTTCACCTTTGTTCTCAAAAGCCTTTTTAAAACCAACCCTTGTTCTCATGGTAAACCAGACAGGTCCATCTTCTCAGACATCATAGTTTGTAGGAAAGACCCCCCCAAGATTTAAGTTTTTGCATGCACAACGCTCTGTGCTGAGGGACTGTTCCAACCACTTTCAGTCTTCTTGGTCAAGTTTGCTACTGGCAAAGCAGCCATTTGAACAAACTTAATTATAACTGAGGCAAGCTACAAAGTCGTGTAGTAACTTCGAAAGTGTCAAGTTGCATATCAGTTGCGGTTCTTCTTTTGCAGCATGGGGGGCACAAGCCAGTCCATGTCGTCCATTCCTTGTAGCCACTTGTTCACTCCCGTCCGAAAGCTCTCCCCCTCTGAAGAACGGCACAGCACAAGGGAGTAAAAACCAGCGCACAGTGAGCAGACGAGAAAAATGCACAACCATTCAAGGAACAGTTGCCGCTGAAAGGAGATGGCAGGGGTGTGGGAGCGCAACCCCAGTCCATAACCCAACCCCCATGACGCCCCACCCCATGCCCCACGGAAGACCAGCCCACCTGCGAGGCCAGCGCGGATGGCAATGAGGTCTGTGATCAGCCCGTCACAGCAGTCCACTATGTCATTGATGGCGGACCCCAACAGCTCCTGTGCCCCACGCACCGCGAGGAGGGGAGAGGGGGGGAGGAGGGGGAATGCAATTTTTGAGATGTTTGACGAAGCAGCCTGTGAGAGCAGTCCACTATGTCGTTGATGGCGGATCCCAACAGCTCCTGCTCCCCATGCCATGCACACACACGGGTGTTTCGAGGGGTGGTGTGGGGGAGGGGGGTTGCAGCAGGGGAGTGATGAGAGGGGAGGGAGGAGAGTGGGGTCGGAAAGGCGAGATGAAGTAGGAATAGGAGTGACGTAGGGAGGTGTGGGTGGGTATAGGGATGGACAGACGGGAAGTGAGCAGTCTGTCTCTGAGGTGCCTAATAAACAAAGGAATACGAGTGACGTTGTGAGATGTGAGCACAGGGAGGGGCAGTCGTTGAGGTGACAAAGCACATAGGAGGCTGATTGGTTGACAAGAGACACCCAAGACGCAAGACAGAGCAGAGGCACGGGTGAGCTGGAGAGGTGTATCGGGTACGGTGTATGCATGGAGGCATAGAGTGCGAGCACGTGGTTGAGCAAGGGAGGAGCTGCTGCAGGCAGTGACAGCGAGCAAGGAGTGGGAAGGAGCGTGGGGTGTGGTGGGGTGTGGGTGTGGAGTATGGGAGGGAGGGCGTACCAGCTCCTCGGGCCCTCCCATGTTGCCGTACAGCGGGTCGTCTATGTCATCCACCTGTAAGGGTGGGGGTGGTGGGTGACGAGGGCGATATGAGCCATGGTGGATGCGCGTGGTGACGAAGGAGGAAAGAAAGTGTGTGTGTGTGTGGGGAGGGGGGGAAGGTGGATGTGGAGGGCTTGTGTGCATCTGTGCAAGTGCGCGAGTGCATGTGTGAGAACGAGACAGACACAGAGCTTGACAATGAGCACAAAAGAGAGAGGTACTACAAGGAACAAAAACACCATCAGCACAGCTGCATGAACCACTAAATTGTGAGAAGGAGCAAGGGGAGGAGGGGAGAGCAGGAGGCACTGACGGTTCTGGACTTGCAGAAGTCGCCCATGCGGCGCACTTTGGAGGAGAAGCGCGCAGTGGGGTCGATGGTGTCAAACACCGACACCTCCTTCAACACATCCGCTGCGTTGAACTGCCGAGGTGGGAGGAGGGGAGGAGAGGGAAATACAAAAAGGTTTATTTTTGAGTGGACTCATAAGTCACCTTGAGGGGTCGATGGTGTCAAACACCGACACCTCCTTCAGCACATCCGCTGCGTTGAACTGCTGGGGGGTGGGGCATGAGGCATGGTGGCGGGTGCATGGGGGCTGTATGAGGTGATGCTGGTCGAAATAGAACCCCTCTCATCTGTTGCCAGAGTTATCATCGCCACACACATACATGCATGTCCCACCACAGCCAATGTTCCCTGCAAGCCACGCCTGGTGACAGCCTCGTCCGTTCACACTCTGGCTTTCACCCCGATCCGCTCTGCATGCACAGCACAGCACACCACGCTTTTCCTCAGCCTCCAACAGTCTCACTTTCCACCATCACCGTCATTCCACCTCTCCTTCCCATCGCACAACAGCACACAACACCTGACCCCACGCACGCACCTCATTTGCAAACCCCAAACTCACTCAAACCAAACCCAACTGCACTGCAACAACCCCCACCACATTCCACCGCACCGCACCTTGTCCATGACGACGAGCAGGTCGTGCGCCACGACGTCCTCAGCAGGGCGCAGCAGCTGGGCCTGCCTGGCAGCGTCCACCGCCACGCCGCTCTGCCCCGCCAGCTGCACTACCCGCGAGTCCGGGCTCTCGCCCACGTTGTAGTCGCGCACTGCCTGCCAATGCCAACCAACCACGTCACAACCGGGGGGCATGGGAGGGGATTTGAGGCATCTCACAACACAACATAATATCGCATCACGAATCTGGACTCTCGCCCACGTTGTAGTCGCGCACTGCCTGCCAATGCCAACCACACCCGGGGGGCATGGCATGGGGGACGGAGAATAGAGGCGTAGGTCTCACAACAACAAGTGTTTTTATTGTGTCACGAGTCCGGGCCCTTGCCCACGTTGTTGCTAGCGCACCGCCTGCCCCACCACCCATCCATGGGGGGAGATTAGTGTTGGGGGAAGGGGACAGGGGGAGGTAGGGAAAAAGGAAAGGATGGGGGGGACCGGGAAAGGGTGGGGAGAGGGACAGTTTTGAGGCTCTTGTGACGGTTCAATACTCACCATGGCAGCTATCAAGCGCAGCACAATCTCGAGGCGCATCAGAATACCCTCCCTCCCCCCCTTCCCTCCTCCTCCCCCTCTCCCCCCCCCCCCCCGCCTCAACCCCCCGCACCTCCCCCAGCATTATCACCCGTCAACGCCCTCCCCCCCCGGCGCGCACCTTGGAGGAGCAACAAGGATGTAGTCGTCTAGCCCCTTGTCCCTGACCATGGCCGTCAGCACCGCCTCCGCCACCACGCTGCGACATTCCCTAGGCGCGCGACCAAACTGGCGGATCAGATTACCCTCCCCTCCCCCGACCACCCCAAACCCACCACCATACCTCCCCGCCCGTTTCCCCCCTAGTCCCGCAACCCCCAGCTCGATCACCCCCAGCGCGCGCAACCCCCCCTTCCCCCCCAACGCACCTTGGAGGAGCAGAGGATGTACTCCTCAAGCCCCTTGTCCCTGATCATGGCCGTCAACACCGCCTCCGCCACCACGCTGCGGCACACGTTGCCCTCGCTCACGAACAGCACGCGCACCGCCGTGCGCCCGCCCGGCCCGTCCACGTTGCCGTCGCCTTCCTGCGGAAGGGGGAGGTTGGGAAGAGGGGGAGGGGAGGGCGGGTCGGAGGGGTGGGGAGCAGGGAATAGGCACATGGAGAGGGGGGGGAGAGAGAGAACGTGGGGAAGTGGGCCGGAGGGAGGTTGTGGATGCGTTGACCCACCACACTGCTCTGTGATTCTCAGCAAGAAAACAATGAGAGAAGGGCAAAATAACGGTGCTGATTAGCCCAGAGTGAATGTCATGGAATGAGGACGGAAGGTGGATGGAAGGGGAGAGGAAGGGGAACGGAAGGGGAGCAGAAGGGGAACGGAAGGGGAGCGGAAGGGGAACGGAAGGGGAACGGAAGGGGAGCGGAAGGGGAGCGGAAAGCGGATGGAAGTCGGATCGGATCGCCATGCAGTACAAATGACGACTTTTCAAACGCCTTAGTGGTCAACATAGACGAGAGTGTGCAGGGAACTGGGCGCGGCACGCGGCAATGGAAACACGCAACGCAATCGTCTCGTCCGCGAAAGGCGGAACGTACCTTGAGGCTGGGGAATGAGCGGAACACGGGATTCACGCACGTGCTGCTCACGTCAAAGCTGCCCGCTCCCTCCCCCGCTTCCACCTCATCCGCCGTCCGCGCCGCCCCGTTTCCGCCGGAAGCTACCGCACACACTGCTCCCTTTCCACCCTTCGCCACTCCGCGAATCCTTCCGCCACGGCGGATCACGGGGAGGGACCTCAGCCCGACGTCGGCTAGGGTTGACCAATGGGAAGAGGAATCGGCGCATTTGAGTGACGCTGACAGGGGATTCACGGACGAAGACACGAGGCTAGTGGAAAGACACGCCATCATGGAGCAGGACATGAGGGACAGAGAGATGGTGGGCAATGGCCGATGAGCGGTGGCCCAACGCAGAGTCTTGATAGAGCAGGTCGCGGCTTTGCAGGTTGAAGTATGACGGTGATGAACGTAGAAATGAGAAGGAGAAATGAGAAAATGTTATTGCTGCTGGATGGATCAGAGGCTGATGGGAATTGAGGGGCAATCCAGTGCGGTGCGGTAGGTTCCTGCACGAGTGTGTGTGACATGGCACCTTGGAGATTGCGCTGGACTTGGATGACTCCACGGTGCATGCTTCTTGAAAATTCAAATAACTACACCAGGTTTGGAAGCAAGAGGCTGGTTATGAGGGCAAATACAAGGTAGGTGAGTGTTATGAGTGCAATTGAACGAGCGAGTGAGAATTGCACTATCGAAGCAATCAATACAGTCGAGCGAAAAGCATGAGCGAAGTTATATAGCGAAGCTAGCGTGGTAACGGTAATGCGGGAAATTGGGGTGCGCTACGGGCCTAGCGCCGAGGTTGGGAATTGCCGAGGCGGAGGTCCGTGTCAGAACATATATATAGCTTATGCTGTTGTGTAGGCTATAGTGGGGTATCCCATAGGGGGTACAACCCAATTAGGGTTTCCTATATGTACTCACTTCATTCATAGTTCATCCATCCTTGTTCAAATGTTCTCATGGTATCGAGCAGGTTCCCCCTTGGGAACTGTGCTTAGGGCCCACCACATCGATTTTTTTTTTCCTGCCCGAAGCGCGCTCAGCCCGAGTCGCGCTCCGGGCCCTCACTTCGTCGAGCCGCCCTAGCGGCCCTTCACTGCGGCCCCGCCACTCGTCTCAGCGGCCCCGCCGCCCGTCTTCGCGGCCCCGCCGCCTCTCTCCTAGCGGCCCCGCCGCCCTACCTAGCGGCCCCGCCGCCCTACCTCGCGGCCTCGCCGCCCTATTGCGCGGCCCCGCCGCCCTACCTAGCGGCCCCGCCGCCCTTACTCGCGGCCTCGCCGCCCCATTGCGCGGCCCCGCCGCCCTACCTCGCGGCCTCGCCGCCCCATCGCGAGGCCCCGCCGCCCTACCTAGCGGCCCCGCCGCCCTTCCTCGCGGCCCCGCCGCCCCATCGCGCGGCCCCGCCGCCCTATCTAGCGGCCCCGCCGCCCTTCCTCGCGGCCCCGCCGCCCCATCGCGCGGCCCCGCCGCCCTTCCTCGCGGCCCCGCCGCCCCATCAGCGGCCCCGCCGCCCTATCAAGCGGCCCCGCCGCCCTTCTCTGCAGCGGCCCCGCCACTCCTCTACAGCGGCCGAGCCGCCCAGCAGCAGCGCAGCCGAGCCGCCCAGCAGCAGAGCAGCCGAGCCGCCCAGCCGTCGAGCCGCCCTGCAGCCGAGCCGCCCGGGAGCCGAGCCGCCCTGCCGCCGAGCCGCCCGGGAGCCGAGCCGCCGAGCCGCCCGGGAGCCGAGCCGCCGAGCCGCCCTGCCGCCGAGCCGCCCTGCCGCCGAGCCGCCCTGCCGCCGAGCCGCCCGGGAGCCGAGCCGCCCAGCAGCCGAGCCGCCGAGCCGCCCAGCTGCCGGGCCGCCCTACTGCCGAGCCGCCCGACCTGCCCTGCCTGGTGAGTACAGCACCACTGTTACTGCGTGCCCTTCCCCTACTGCTTGCACTACTACACTGTCGTAGTCATGGCTACCCCTAGTGTCCTCGCTTTTGACGCTGAGGGTCGAGCCATTGACTTTGAGGTCTGGGTCGACGACCTGCAGCTGTTCTTACAGTGCGATAGGGCGGACGGTCTTTCCCTCTTTGACCTCACCTCTGGCGCCTCTCCTGCCCCTGCTGCTGATGCTGACCCCACTGTTCGCTCTCAGTGGGCCACCCGCGATGCTGCTGCACGTCTTGCTGTGCGTCGCCACCTGCCTACCACTGAGCGCGCGCACTTTAGTCAGTACAAGAGTGCTCAGACCTTGTACGACGCTGTAGTTGCGCGCTACTCTTCCCCTGCCACTGCTGCCCTGAGCCGCCTCATGCTACCGTACCTCTTTCCTGACCTTGCTGCCTTTCCCACTGTCGCTGACCTCATTACGCACCTCCGCACTAGTGACACTCGCTACCGCGCCGCCCTTCCTGCTGAGTTCTGCGCCAAGAACCCCCCCCCCATGTACATCACTCTCTATTACATAGTCACACGCCTCCCTGACTCCCTTCGCGTAGTCAGGGACCACTTCCTCTCAGTCTGTCCCACCACTCTCACTGTCGACCTCCTCGAGAAGTCCCTCCTTGCGGCGGAGAAGAGCATCGTCGCTGTAGGAGCCTCTCGTGGTGACCCTCGCACCCCCATCTTTGAGGGGTGTTCTCCTTCCCCCCTGCTGCCCTCTGTTGCCTCTGCTGCTGCTGCCGACCTGCTTGGTCTTGAGTCGGTCTGCGCGGCGTCTGCCCCTAGCGGGAGACGCCGCCCTAGCAGGGGCAAAGGGGGCAAGGGCACGGGTGGAACTGGCGGAGGCGGTGGAGGTGGCGGTGGAGGCGGCGGAGGGAGTGGGGGTGGCGGTGGGAGTGGTGGCGGGGGCGGTGGTGGCGGTGGCAGCAGCGGAGGAGGAGGCGGTGGTGGCGGCAGCGGTGGGAGCGGAGGCAGCGGTGGTGGTGGAGGTGGAGGCGGCGGTGGCGGAGGGGGTGGAGCTGGTCGGGGTGGTGCCCCGCAGCGTAGCGGCTCTGGTGGTGGCCAGCGTCAGCAGCAGCAGCAGCAGCAGCAGCAGCAGCAGCGTTCGCGGGACATCCCCCCGCCCCAGCAGCTCCGTGAGTGGTACACGCAGCGTCAGCGGGGTGGGGGTTTTGGTCCGTGCACCTACGTCCTTCGTTCCGGCGACCGCGCGGGTGAGCAGTGTGGGGGTGCCCACCCCACCCAGCGCTGCTTTGGCCGCCTGACGGACGCTTGGCGTCAGCAGTTCCCCGAGGCCAGTGAGATTCCCCGTTGGGGAGAGCTGTCTAGGGCTGGCGTAGCTATCTTTGATCTTGACTTTGATGCTATCCTTGCTGCCATGTATGCTGTGACTATTAGTGAGGAGGGTGACTGTTACCGGTGTTTCCCGCCCGACCCGGGCATTGGTACTGCTGCGCCAGGTACTTCTGCGGCTGCTGCTCTAGGTGCCAGTGCGTCTGCACTCTCAGGTACTGGTGAGGCTGCACTCTCAGGTACTGCGTCGGCTTCGGCCTCCCTCACCTTCACGCTTGACTCAGGGGCTTCTCGCTCCTTCTTTCGAGACCGCACCACACTCACGCCGCTTGGCCGGCCGGTTGCAGTCTCCCTGGCTGACCCCTCTGGGGGTCCTGTCCTCTCTCACTTCTCCACTGTCCTCCCGTGTCCGGCTGCCCCCTCGGGCACCTTGTCTGGTCTGTACCTCCCCTCGTTCTCGACGAACTTGGTGAGTGGTGCTGACCTGCAGGATGCGGGGGTTCACCAGTTTACTCCTGCGAGTCAGCGGGTGACCCACTGCTCGGACGCCCGCACAGGCCGACACCTGGCCACGTTTTCGCGTCGGCCGGGGTCGAGTCTCTACACCCTGACCACTGAGTCTCCTCCTGACCCTGCGTCTGGCCAGGTAGCTGCGTCGGGTCAGGTGTTTGCTGCTGCGTCCAGGTCTGGTCCTGAGTCTGCCCCCTGCTCGTGTCGCCGCCTGTCTCAGGAGACTCTCCTGTGGCACCACCGTCTTGGCCACCCCTCCTTGCCTCGTCTTCGGGGCATGGCTTCCCGTGTCCTTGTCTCTGGTCTTCCCCGGTCTCTCCCTCCCCTTCCTTCGGGACCCGGACCTTCCTGTGTCCCCTGTGTCGAGGGGCGGCTCCGGGCTGCCCCTCACTCCTCCCAGTTTCCCCCGACAGAGGCTCCTCTGCAGACGCTTCACATGGACGTGTGGGGCCCGGCCCGCGTCCGTGGGCAGGGTCACGAGCGCTACTTCCTGCTGGTGGTTGACGACTACTCGCGTTACACCACAGTCTTCCCCTTGCGCAGCAAGGGTGATGTCACTGAGGTGTTGATCGACTGGATCCGCGCAGCTCGTCTCCAGCTCAGGAGGAGCTTCGGCTCGGACTTTCCTGTTCTGCGTCTGCACTCTGACCGAGGTGGAGAGTTCTCCTCTGGCCTTCTGCGAGCCTACTGTCGTGCACGAGGCATCCGCCAGACCTTTACGCTTCCGGACTCTCCACAGCAAAATGGGATTGCTGAGCGCCGCATTGGCATGGTCATGGACGTCGCTCGTACGTCCATGATGCATGCGGCTGCCCCCCATTTTCTGTGGCCGTTTGCGGTTCGGTACGCGGCGCATCAGATCAACCTTCACCCCAGGGTCTCCCGGCCGGAGACCTCCCCAGCTCTGCTGTGGACGGGGAAGGTCGGCGATGCGTCTGCGTTCCGTGTCTGGGGATCTCGGGCGTTTGTCCGCGACTTGTCTGCGGACAAGCTGTCCCCTCGTGCTGCTCCCTGTGTCTTCCTCGGCTTCCCCCCTGACGCCCCAGGGTGGCAGTTCTACCACCCCTCCTCTCGTCGTGTTCTGTCCTCCCAGGACGTCACGTTCGACGAGTCAGTCCCCTTCTACCGCCTCTTCCCCTACCGCACTCCTTCCCTCCCCCCGCCACCGCACTTCCTTGTGCCAGGTCCCCCCCCGGTAGACCCCCTTCCCCCTCAGGGTCCTGCCCCTTCAGGTGTGTCCCAGGTAGACGCAGTCGAGCCGGTCGAGGTTGCTGGTGACTCTGGTCCTGCTGCGGGTGCTGAGCCTGGGGGTGCTGACTCTGGGGGTGCTACGCGCGTGGGTGCTGAGCCTGGGGGTGCTGAGCCTGGGGGTGCTGAGTCTGGGGGTGCTGAGCCTGGGTGTACTGCGACTGGGGGTGCTGAGCCTGGGGGTGCGGAGTCTGGGGGTGCTGAGCCTGGGGGTGCTGTGACTGGGGGTGCTGAGCCAGGGGGTGCTGCGTCTGGAGCTACTGAGCCTGGAGCTGCGGAGCCTGCGGCCACTGGACCTCCCCTTGTGGCGTCTGGCGGTGCGGGAC